GATGAAACAGAATTAATAATTTTTCTGCCATGAACCGCGGATTCGAACCTGGGACTTAAGCATTGGAAGATCAGTACCCTGCCATTGAGCCTTTTCTGAAAAAAGTACTTAAAATATTATTTTAAAAAATGGCATGTTTTTTTTCAAACTAAACATCTATCAATCCACCTTTATTTATTTATTTAACAAAATGAGGTCTTCTACTCTTTCCTATGATAGGACCCTGGAAGCTTACATAATTTTGTTAAGGCAAATTCATTTTAAGGCCAAAGATAATTTTATTACAAATTTAATAAAATCGTCCTTAAAAGTTTCTACGCTCGACTTTCAGAGGAGAATTAACGTATAACCGATCTGCCTTACAATACTTCAAAGTGATCTGACTCAATTTAGTCATTTATTTTGTGTGCGGAAAACATAAAATAAATTTTTGTATTTTAGAATCTTTTGGAGAAATTACAAATACTTCTTTTGTACATAGTATTTAAAAAAAAAAACTCTCATTGACGCACTCTCTCTACCGCAAGGTTATCCCCTTAATTAATAATTTAATTAAGAGTATAAAGAGGCTGAAAGTGCCCTAGGGGAGTCTTCCGAGTCCAGAGTCGATTCACTGCTGATGAAAACCATATTCAACATGTATTTAAAAAAAAAAAACACTAAACAGTACTCTAGAATGTTCAAAGATTTGAGAAAAATCTTCGGTAACCGAATGGATCTGGGATCAGAGCATTAAAGGATGGACAAAAAAACTGCGCACTAAAACCGGTCAATTAACATCTCGTGATATCAAGGAGAGGAGGTTAAGATGGGAGGAATGTATATAGGTCGGAAGCAATTCATCAGAAAATCCCTACACAACAATTAATCCCCCAATTGTAAGCAAGAAACAACGCGAAGTTCAAAAAACAGATGAATCGATCAAATTTTTCAATATAAAACGGAACTGCATGAAGACAACTAGAATGAAATAGCCCAAGAGAGGTAGGGGTGGAAATACTGTTTACGGCTGTAAACGATCTACAAGGAGATTTGTGATACCAACAGAAAAAAAATATAACAAAGACAACACATCATAATGATGACTGTAGATCACAATATTCAGTATTGAATATTAGAATCCTACCTAAGTCAAACAAAAGCAATATTAGTGCTCCGATCTTCATTAAAGTGCCGGTACTATTATTAATCGATAATAACTTATTCCGCTTCCGAACTGATAGGACCTGGATACAGAAGGCATTAGGTGACTAAGTAAGAATATAAGTGGCCGTGGGACAGGACAGGATCACGAAGTTCGTGATGGGCTCTCTAAACGATCAAGAGCCGGTGTATTTTCATAAACGAAGGGCATGCAAGAACCTCGTTTATGGTCCTCCAGGAAATAACGTATTACAGATTTGCATGTCCGTCTGTTCGAGAAAAGTCAGACCTCTGAGTGCTTCGTGGTTTCGAAGAGCTTTGTCAACTGCAAGCAATCAAAGCAGGGCTGGAACTAGACAGAGGTTAAAGGGGGCTCTTGTCCAGGACAATAGACGACAGTCAATTTACAAGTTGACAAATTTCGAAACATTTTTTTAGCGTAAGTAAAGGTATTTCTTTCTAATTATTTTATTTGTTTACCATAATTTAGTCAGTGACACGATTAACATTAAATCTAATAATAATATTAATTTTGAAATACAATTTATAAAAAAAGTTATGAAACTTTGACTTTTATTGGGACAGGCGAAACTGAGCTTTGAAGTTTAAGTGGCGTAGTACACGCTTAACCATCGTTTTTTAATCCTTTCTGAGGATTTAATGACAGTAAAAAGTAAAAAAAGTCATTAATTATTCAGTTCGTAGATATAACTAGTTTCAGCATTTACCTTATCATTATTTCTGTGACCTAAATGTGACCGAAAATTTGTCTATTGTTTCAACCTGAAGTTCACGCAGTAGTTAACTATTTCTTGCAAGTCAAGGAACATCTGCTGTGATTCTCACTTTTAGAAGTTTGTATTTTTTTTTTTCTTTCGTGAAAAATACAAGATCATACTCGTAAAATAGTACGGCACAAGGGCGGATCTACGAGAAGGGGGACTTAAGGGCTGAAGCTCCCTTCCAAAATGGTAAAATTATGATTATCTCTTAAAGTATTATTGTTCGTGTAATTATATTTAAAAGGACTTCAGGAATCAGTTAAACACCATTTCATATAGGTAGTTAGTTTCTTTCTTTTTTTCTAAGTAATTATCATTATTTTTATTTTTAAGAAAGCTTCCGTGCTGAAGCCCTCCCAAAATTAAATCCTGGATCCGCTAGTGATATGCCATATTACTTTATTTGCTACTCATTTCGTATTACCAACTGTCCATCCTGTTAGAAAGCTTTAAAATTCTTCAGCGCTAACCAGATCGAAGATACAGGAGACCCGGGGCAGGCGAGGATAAAGAGTTAAATATAAGGGAGCTGATTATCGGTGTGTAAGAGGATGCTTTGAGGAGCTGGGTCGCTAGAACTAGTTGAATTCTCCCTAGTGAGAGAGAAATGTTATTTGAAACTCGATTCTCCACGGTTTATTATCGATTATCTTGCCACTATCGCGGGACAAAAGGACCCTGCCTCAGGCACAAAGTGTTTTTTCCAACGGCAGCGACTGGCGGCTTCAAGGTGGCTCACGTAGCCGCGTCCAATTAGCTCCTGACGCCCACAGCTAACTGTCTTACATTTTTTTCATATATTAATCGATATTGTCGTGGAAATAGAGGAGGTGCATACGTTGCCAATATCAGTAGGTAACACACATGTGGTTTAAACCTGGATAAACAAAGTACACATATACTCCGACACTACTCCAGTTTGAGGAGTTCAGAAATAAAGCCTCCATCCCAAATAAAAAATATCTCGGTATTAGATATGAGCGTGATGTCCAAATTTTAAGTTAACTGTCAATAAGGTCTCCACCATATTATCTCCACTCAACTTACAAAACAAGCGACTGATCTACACCATCATACTAAGATCTTTTTGGACCTACAGAGCATATAAACAAAATACAAAACACGTCCACATAAACAAAATTGAAACTGCAAAATCAAAAATATTTCGTAAAATCGTAAATGCACTTCGGTTGATTTCGAATCACACCATACACGAAATGAACATACCACCAGTAAAATCCTACTTACATAACTAATACTCAACTTCTACTCTCAATCATTCAAATCCACTCGTCCTGTTTCTTTTTCTCCTCCCTGTAACCTGCTGAGTCTCAACGCAACTAAAAAGGCACTCTGGCCTAGTGATCTGCTCACAATGTAAATAAATATCAAGGAAAAAGAAGAAGAGAGAATAAACGGCAACACATTTGCTTGATGTGTTACAACGCATTAGCAAATTTAAAATAAAGTATCAATATTTTATTTTTAAGTATATTCCATTTTTCCAAGAACTTAAGCTACCTTGATTTCATCCGTCTTTCTTCTTATTATCCTCAACCTCTGTCCAATGCTCTAGAGCTCTACTTGTACATACTATCTTCCTCGAAGATAAAAATAGTCACGAGAACTTTCGCAACATATCTCGACAGTTACCATATTCTCCAAGTATGTTATGAGAAAATGAGGCACATGCATCCCTCTTTATAGTTCACGGATCAGATCACTTCTTGTCAAATTATGAACATCCTTCCACAACATCGTGAATAGCTTCACCTTTTTTTTTATCACTTTTTATTTAAGAAAATGCTTGGAAATGGGACAGTTTTAATCTAGAGATCCGAAAACATCGTCTATTTAATGAAGTATTGAAAACTCATGAATACCTATTTGCTTCCCACTTGAATGATAACACAATTTTATCACAAAATCGAAAAAAAAAATGTACCCTGCAAATATGTATACAAATTTATCCTGGCCGTTTGGCGTGACCTCCATTCCCGATAAGTCAAAATAACGAGGTTATATAGGCCGCCACTTGTCCATCTTACCAAGAAGCCTTGTGCCACATATGTTAACCTTAGCTAACCCCAATCCCTAAAATGCCTTTGGGCGGTGGAAGGACTTTGTTATTTGTATATATTAGTATTGTTATACTTATATATGTAATTTAATTAAATAAACTTTTTGGAGGGATAGGAAAAAAAAAGAAAAAAGAACTTACCAAGAACAGCACACAAAAGAGATTGTTTTTTAAATGAATGATGATAATGAAGTGGAATTTTCTCTTAATGATTTATTAAAGAGCCTAAGCATGTAACATAGAACAAATATACATACATATTTTTAGTTTTTCGAAATAGTTAGATATTATAATTATACTCAACCGTTTAATTATTCAACTGGTATCTGTGATGATAAATAAACAGAATGGCAGTAACAGAAAAAGCAATACTTTTTTCAAAAATCAAAACATATTGGTGAGTCTTTTATATTATTTCTCAAAGGTGTTTTTTTTTACTATTATTATTATTTTTTTTTTTTTTTTATCGTTGCACCTTATTTCCGTTAATTCGTCGTCGTCAATCCAATGATTGAGCTCTCATTTTGAAAATTTTCTTCTTCAAATTGTAAAAATAATAGCATCACCCCGAAATTCCCAGAAAAAATGTTATGATATAAAATAAATATTATTTGCGATTAACTAAAAAATTATACATTTTATTGTTGATCCAAACTATGATTATTTGAGAAGTTAATACAAAATTTTTAAAAAAATCATCGAAATCGGACCATTATTAGCGAAGATACAGTTTATTGTAATTTGTAAACATGTTGATTTAAAACATGAATAAAGTTTTATAATAAATCTCTTTCCCTTGGTTGATTACAATTTCCGAAAAAATAATTCATTCTTCCATCTTAAGATATGTTGCATTATCTTATTTCTTTATTTTGTTATTTTCTTCTCTTCTGATAATATTCTATGCGAATTATTTGTAACTAGTATAAAATAACCTTTTTGGATATTAACAAGTAAAGGAGAAAAATAAATAAATAAAATTAAAAATACACGCATAGGTAAAAATAAATCATATGTTTTTATTAATTATATGTACAGATAATAAAAGCGAACCACTCTCGTTGACAGCAAAGCCAACCTGAAACAAAAATAATAATGTAAGTTCCAACTAATTGAACGTATTTAATGTTCGTAAATATATGCAAGTTTTTTAAACCTTATTAATACGAATTATATTAATTTTACATAATAATATGTAGTATAAAATACAAAAAAAAAAAAAAAAAATAGAAAATAAGGATTTTAGAGAATATATATAAACTGAGTTAAAATCTGAGTCCCACAATTTTTGGAAAAATAAAAAACAGGAAAAAAATCCGTAAATCCCATCAATATAATACCAAAACTTTAAAAGTTATATATAGTCGGCTTATTGCAAAAAGTCATTAAGTGACATATCATAACCTTAATTCACTGAGAACTTCGATGAATTTTCCTATTTTAAAATAAGAAAATTCAGTGATTGTTTTGATCCAAGATTTAATTATTATTTTTTTTTTTTTTTTGTGGTGGGTTGTATTTTTTTGTTTATATGTATACAACGATAATCACTTTGGAATAAAAAGAAACTAACTACCTTTATGGAATGGTGCTTAAGTGATTCTTGAAGTCCTGTTAAATGTAATTACACGAACAATAATACTTTAAGAGATAATTTTTTTTCATAAGATATGGTTATATTTTGCCATTAGGGGAGGGAGGGAGTTCAGCCCGAAAGCCCCTCTTCTACCCCCCTCTCCTCTCCCCCGTAAACCCGCCTGCGGATGTAACCATACTTGACATTTAAAAAGGGTTTGTGTCATTTTAGTGCACACACTGTGTTTTTTTGTGGACAACAGATGTCAAAATTAAAAAAAAAAACTTCTTAAAATGTGAGCTCCATAAAAAATTTACTTACAAGGAGAGTTTACAGTAAGTGGGTCACCGATTTCAACCATTTTTTTTTTCGGTGACACATCGAAAAGAAAAATGTTTTATATAATTTCACAAAAAAATTAAGTTATTTATTTTTGCAGCTGCTTTGTCCGGATGAAGATTATTCATGGAGGATTTTTTTTTCCGGCCGTTAACTAAAGCATTTATATATTCTCATAATTTTCTCTAAATTCAACGATAGTACAACCGTTACTGCTACTGTACAATTAATGCTCTTCCAACCCACATCAATAAGTTCTCATTCAGTCTCATTCGTTTTTAAGCTAGAAATAAAAAAAAAACTAGTCTATGAAAAAAAAGTCCAATCTAGGCTAAAGTTTCGTGCTAATGGTTTTTATTTGTCGATGACTACAAAAATGTCTATTTAAGGGTTGCGAAAAATAAGTACCAACTTTGTTTCTCCTTAAAAAAATATTTACCTTCACACTGCCACGTCGGTTGGTTTAATTTCTTTCCATAATGTAGCTACCTGACAAATATAATATTTTTTCTAAACCTAGAGTAAAGAGGCCCGGTATCTAGAGTAAAGTTTTGTTTTAGAGGAAAAATAAATTTTGATTTTGATTTTTAGCTTACAAAAAGGAATGAAACCTGAACGTGTTTGATGTGAGTTAGAAGAGCAGTAATTGTCTGATAGTATTAACGTTGCCTTTGGAGAAAATCCTGAGAAGCTATTAATGCTTTAGGTAACGCCTTGAAAGAAAATCTTCCAAGTATTTCAAGTACTAAAATTTTCATCTTTAGATATACATAAAAATTCGTATTCAAGATTTTAAAGGATACTAAAAAATGAATCTATCATAATAAATATTCTTTTCTTATTCTGCAGAGAAAAAATAAATAAAATTGATGGGAATATAATAACCTAAAAATTACAGCAAAGGAAAAAGAAAAAACATAAATTTTGTTTGAAATTATATACTTTTTCTGCTCCTATGGCCAATTGTAAGAACACCTGGACATGCGTTTAGTATTTTTCGATGTATCACTGAAAACAAAAATTGATTGAAATCGGTGAACCATTGTCTGTAATTTCCCAGTGACTTTTGCAATAGACCGACGATATACAGACCAGGTGATTGTAGAAAAAATTTCCAACTTAAAAGTTCATTTGATGCATGGGCCGATTCCGAACGAAAAAGGTGTTAAGACCAATTTTGTGTGGTCTTATTTTTTATTGAATAAGAAAGAATCGCTCAAAAACTGTTCAAGGTAATAAAATTCTAAGTAGACGATCGTAGAGTAGACATTTTTTTAAATTTTTTTTTTTGAGAAAATAGTGATTAAATTTACTAAGGTCAATGATAAAAGGGACTATCAGGTGATGTACAGCAGTAACAGACCCCCATACACGAGCAGCATATGTCTTCACAGCGACCGTATTAAGCCCCTCTTATTATTAACTTCATTAAATTTCATCACGGGTTTTTCAAAAGTTTTTTGTCGACTTGACCATCTTGTACAGTTTTTGAGTAATTTCTTCTTATTCGGAATCGGTCCATGCATCAAATGAACTTTTTTGTTGGAAATTTTGTCTAGAATCGCCCTCCAGAGTTTGGGCACTACGAACTAAAACAGACTCTTTACTCGAATAATTATGTTACATACACTAAGGGTATATTCATTAGATTGCAAATCGAACAGAATACCATTTACCAGTAATGAACGGGATCAAGTCTTCTGCTTCTTGATAGGAGGCAGCCCAGAATCGTATTCCGAAAACATCAGCCTTTTCGTCCTCGATTCCTGGCTATCCAGTTTCAACGGCTTCGACTTCTTTCTCTCACCATCTTTCGATTTCTTCTTTCCGCTGCCCTTTTTCCCACTAAAAGAAAAAACAAAAATTGATATCCTCAGATTATCATTGGTCAAGGAAGGAAGAAATGGAAGAGAGGAAAGGAGGTGAGGGTTAGCAGTCCCACTGCCAATTGGCTGATCGGACTCGGAGGTTTGTCAAGAGCTTAGCGTCACGGATCGGTTCAGCACAAAACCATCTCGGTTAGCTCGTGATAAGGTGTTAAGCAACTTCTATAGAACATCCCCAACTCATTGAATATTAGTAAAGGAAGATTTAAATTATCGCAATGGGATTTCAACTGAAGATATAAGGAATAAAGGGGCGTGAGTCCATTTTTTAGCAACAGTCCATGATTGATATGGAAATTTGTCAGTATAACTTATCTATTCAGGAAGAGTCCTTTTAAAAAACAAATTTAATTTTTTATTTATACCAACGTTTCAACCTAAACATGTGGGTCATCTTCAGGGCGTGGTTTGAGCACTGAGGGTGTTCAGTACTTAACACAGAGTACTTGATCACCTTCAGTGCTTAAACCACACCCTGAATAAGACTCACAAGTTTGGGTTGAAACTTTGGCATAAATAAAAAATTAAATTTGTTTTTTTAAAAAGACTGCGCCCTGAATATTTATCAACCATGATACATAGAACAGTCGACTAATGTCCATCTATAACTTATCTAGTTAAGAGATATTCAGTGGCTCACAGTCAGAATGATTCACCTGAGTATTGATTAAAATTATAGAATAAATAAATAGTACAATGTATATTACTTTGAAAACAATAATTTATTGTAATCAATAAACATCCAAGTAATACGTTCTTTTCTTATTATTATGTTATGTCTTGCACTTTGTAAGACCAAGACCAGGACAGGGAAAAAATCGATTTTTTAAATTAAAATTAAGGCAAAATACTTGACAATCTTAGTTACTATATGTTAATAACTGCTTTAACCAACATACTTTTTCATTTAACTCATCTGATTTTTCATTCGGGCTTAGTTAGGCTTCTCCTGTCTAAAAAATTACAGTAATATCTCTACAGTAATAAGTAACTGCAAGACTGTTGCGAGACTCCAAGACTCGTCTCGGTCTCGCATTTGGGCAACATTACACATGATATAGTGAATAAACATGTTTACATGAGCATTTTGATAATAAATCCGAAAAAAATAATGGAAAATCTGGTGCTAAAAAAATGGAGTTTTTATCAGGATAATGATCGGAAACACTGCAATGTAAACAATGGCTACTTTACAACTGCCCCACGGTTATAGAAAACTCCACCACATCTTAATATGATAGTGTGCGAAATTGGAGGTAGAAATTATAAAACACGAAATTTCTAACAAAGAAGGCTTAAAAACATACTCGTATCTACTCGAAGAGTGGAACAGGCTTATCCCAGAATTAACCAAAAAATTGGTCGACTTCATAACAAGCAGGCAAAAAGAAGTCGTAGAAAATAATGGCTTGCCTCCAAAGTATTGATCTAAATTAATATTATTTAAAAATATTAGTATTTATAATTTTATAAATTGATAATATTTAAGAAGAAGTGAGGTGTATCATTTTTACTGTGATATAAAATTTTCCGGGTTTTTTTTTTGTTAATTTTTTTAAATAATCTCATTTGAATATTTAAATTTCGATTATAAATAAATCTGTAGAAGAGTTTCTAGTTCCATTTGTTTGGTGTAACGATTACTGTTTTTATTTTTTGTCTTTTTTTAACGGGGTGTATCAATTTGACAGTGAGCTACTGTAACTGTTCTGTCCACTCAGTCCTCCCTTACAGTAGCCAATCACTTATAGTCCTTGGTACAGACTCCTTTTTATAAAAGTTATTAACATCCGCCTAAAACTTTGTAAATAGCTTCATCTCAACGTAACCTACTATTTTATTTTAGAAAATGTTGGAATTATGACGTTTACAATCTGGAGATCAGCAAACATATTTAATTAGATATATTAAAGCTCATAAATACCCATTTGCTTTTCACTTGAATCCTAAGATAATTTGATCACAAAACTGAGAAAAAAGACGGGCTATAGAAACAATATTTGGCCATTTAGCCTAAATAACCTCGTTATTTTGATGTTTTGAAAGTGTAGGTCACGCCAAATGGCTCAATATTTTTTAAGTCCACCAGTTTCAGGCGGGTATTAATACTTTAAAAAGGGGCACCACGGATTATTAGCCTTCAAACAAATTTTAACTACTTTTTGAAAATAATAGCGATTTTAAGATAGCGTGCTCACGTTTCAATATTATTGCTTCGATATTCAAGGTTCATTACCGGATTAACAGGAGGGTAGGTTTTGAAAACGCTGTCAATCGATAGATTGCGCGAGAACGCGTCATCTTACAATCGATAGTATTTTCATAAAACATTACTTCGATGACCAAATAATGAACCTCAATACTGCAGAAATATGATACCACTTAACCGAATAGTTAAGGTTAGGTACTCATTCGACGCACAATTTAATGTTCTTTCATTTCTTAAAGAGTACTTTTTTCGATTCGTCGTTATATTTCCCTTGGTGGCCCGTGTTAGCTTTTTTATTTATTAAGTGATTCAACCAATATACAAATTAAAAAAATTGAAAACTTTTCCAACATTTTACGCAATGAATTTCCCGTTTCGACTCTCAAGTTACTGGTATAATTTCATTAAATCGGCCGCCATTTTTACAGATAGCAAGATCTGACTGGTAGACTCTCAATTGTTTAATATAAATCACAGGCCATATAAATACAATCAAATTTTATAGAAAAAAATATTAAAAACTATCTCCTAAACTTTATTATTCGTGTAATTACATTTAATAGGACTTCAAGAATCACTAAGACACCATGTCATATGGGTAGTTAGTTTCTTTCTTTTTTTTTTCAAATTAATTATCGTTATATATATATGAAAAAAAAAAATCCTTCGGGCTAAAGCCCTCTCCCAAAATTAAATCCTGGATCCGCTAGTGATATAAATATTACAAATATTTAAAAAAATGCTCTCAAAGTTTTTATCAAATAATGTCGATTTTTTCTGACGAGCTCTGGGACAATCAAGTTTAACTTTTTTTTTCTTTCTTGCTTGGATTACCTGGGGTTTACAGATACCATCCTGTATTTATAATATATCACATGATAAGGAATGGATATAAACGGTACTCATTAGTCAGTGGTTTGATTTGATTTTATCACAAAATCGATTAAAAAGGTGGCCTACAAAAATATTGGACCGTTTGGCTCATATAACCTGGTCATTTTGACAATTAGTTGGGTGTAGGTCACGCCGAACGGCTCAATATTTTTTAAGGCCACATTTTTCCCCAATTTTGTGCTGAAGTTATCTTACGATTCAAGAGAAATGCAAATGGGTATTTATGAGATTTTAGTACCTAATTAAATAAACAAAGTTTGCTGACCTCTAAATTGAAAAAAAAAAAACAATTCAGAGAATTTTCGTAAATAAAATATTTGTAGGTTACGATGGGATGAAGCTATTTACGAAGTTTCAACCGGGTGTTAATAATTTGATAAAAGGGAGTCTGTACCACGTACTACATCCTTCTAAAAGGGATTTAAAACACTTTTAAATATATCAAAAATATGTTTCAATTGAATGGTTTCCGACATACTGAAAGACGCACAGAGAAGAAAGTCAGCCAGGGCAGAAAAATCATTTCGATAACAGGAGAGGTTTAACTTTATCCATTTATTCTAAACTTAGTTTTCGTAGTCCTTTTTTTTACTTCTTTGCTCCAAGGGGCCTCTACTGTTATCTTGATTTTTCGAAAGTACCTTTTCTCATTATTCTCTCAGAACATTCAGGTTCTTCATTATTTGGCTAATCTTAACTACGAAGATAACCTACTATGTCTAATGAACTCAAAAAACAAAAAATTTTTTAATATTTTCTACAACTTATAGTAAAAGTTAACTAACAACGGAGCGGAATAAAAAAACACAAGCGATCGACAAGAGTCCCAGGAAGCGCAGTGTACTCCAGCGCTATAACCGAAAGCATGCATCAATTGAAGCGTCTTTGCACCATCAATTTAAGACAATGAGCGTTCAAAGATGAAACCTTTCTGATATGTTCCCGCATGAATTAGCCAGATCCCAATCTTAATTGTGGCTAATTATTTTCAGCTTAGCTCTAACGATCTTATTCAAGGACTCCAGTTCGCTCAATTACCGCTGCATAACTACGGCAACTATCTACAACAATTTATCGATACTACACCACGATATTATTGAATCGAACAATTTAAGAAAGAGAAGAAAGAAGAAAAGTAAATGTTATTCTGGGACAGTAAGTCCCCACATGTTTGGATTAAAACGTTGCCACAAATAAAAAAATTTAAAATACTGCGTCCTGAAAATTTATCACCCATTATAAGTAGAACAGTCCACTAGCTCCCTTCAATAATTCTTCAATTTTTTATGTATTAATAATACGATTATAGATGGAATCGGTAATGTTGACAAATGGAGTCCGTTACTGTATATTGTTAAAAAGAAGTTCTAAAGATGGAGAAGATTTTTCCGAAACGAAATAATAATAATTGTTCTTGAATAATGAAGTGAATTGTAAGGAACTATAGTAGCCAAAATTTAATCAAAATGATACAATAGATTTTCTGATAAATTCGAACATAAAAATATGATAAATGTTTATTGTTTGCCTTGGACAACGATGTAATTTCTCAGAGCATAACCTCATTAACAATATCCATTAACTGACTCATTTTGTCAACATAAAAAAACTCTATCTTTAGTTACATTATTAATATATAAAAAAATTACGGAGTTTCTGATTTGTTGGTAGAGATTTGTCAAACCGGTACAATAGCTACAATGAACAATGAAATGACAATTGTCTGGCATTAGAAACAATTAACAATAAATTAAATTACAAAGTTATCTGAAACTAAAATTAAAATGAAGAATGGCACTAGTAGACATGTGAAATTACAGATAAATACATATGAGCGAGTTCACATATTGCATACA